GTATCTAAAACTCTAAATAATTCTCTTTCTTGTCAAAAGTCAACACAGGCTGATTCGATTACTTTAGAATCCAACTGACAAGATGAAGTATTTTTCTTTACTCTGTTTCTTCCTGTACAATCTGCGATAAATTCACTTACGTTACTCCTAGGTTATATTGCAACTTTAAATAATTGTCTCCTTTTTGTCATAGTCCACAAAGATAGGTTCAATTACTTTAGAATACCCTTGGTCAAGACAAATTATTCTCCTTATCTCTAATAAACTGAAACTCACTTTAAAATATTGCCTGTTATGGCTAATCACTCGCACGACGGCAAACTTCACGGTTTCTTTTTCTAACTGAACTTTTACTTTCACTTCACTACTTTTTCTCTACTTAACTTATGCTCGCTTGGTCGCCTATATTTATACATTGTTCACTGAGGCCTCGAACTTTCTATAAATTACACAAGCGATGATATAACGTAAAAATACTCATTTAAAGTAACAAGAAAAATACCAAATATTCGAGTAACTTGGCGTCAACAATACTACAACAGTTGAAACACACACACAAGTACGACTCTTACCAAGTTACACAACCAAACTTGTCAGAACTATTATTTTTAAAATAATTACTTTTAACTCTCTTGTTATGAAAAGTAAACAATCATTAAATATTGAATCACCAAATAAACTAAATAGTAACTATTAAACTAAACAGTCTTGTATATCCAACAGTTAAGATCAACAATACGACTTCACGTTCGAAGCCAATGTCTCCCAAGGATCAGCGTCAAGCCTAATATTATAGAACCTCTTTGACAATGATATTCCGTTTCCTTCCTTAAACCATACACTTGTGTCTCAATATGCGACATTTAAGGTCCAAATATTACTCAGTGCAATACCAGACTGGTCCAACAAGCGGTGTGTAGCCCTCAGCCCTATCCAAAACTATATACTGTTACGACAGTGGAAGTCACGTGGTAGCGTGCGTGACGATTTTCTCGAATGATCGGGGAAGTCGGAGTGTATTCGAGAAGCCCTCTTCATTAGCATATAGGCCTGGCAGAGAAAGCCAGCAGGGATAAATGAAGAGAGAGCAGTAGTTACTTTGAGTTCCATGTAATTTATGATTCTGTTAGTTTCAGGCTAGTGAGTCGTAAAGTGTGTTTTACACACTTCGAGAGCGAAGGTATCGAGATTGTGAATCGCTGTGATTTATAACGTGTATTATAAAAGTTGTTAAATTTTTACCGGAAATTATCAAACAAGCAGATATGTAACAAATTGGTGTCATAGAGTAGGACGAAAAAAAAGAAGATGGAAACGAGAAGTGGCAAATCAAACTACAACTTAGCAGATTTAATGACAGCAATACAAGAACAGCAAAAGAAACAAGAAGAACGAGAAAATAAACAAGAAGAGAGACTACAGCAGTGGTTGGAGGAGAAAGAAAAAAGTAGAAGAGATACTACAGCAGTGGTTGAAGGAGAAAAAAAGAACAAGAAGAGATACTACAGCAGTGGTTGGAGG